ATTTGAGTTACACTAAACACGTATTGTATTGATGTGTGAATATGACGCCATTGAAATTTTCCACTAAGAACAATGTAATAAATAGCATAGATTGTAGATATAATAAAGAATTAATTTTTCAAAGTTTTTGTGTATCGATTATCTGGTTAGTCTTCATAAATACTATGAAGATCTAAATTTAGGTTTCTAAAGTTTCTAAGGTCTCAGGCGCGTGAAAATAATAAATTATGCACTTTTATTACAAATATCAAGAAATAGTATTACGAGACTAAATGAACTTAAAAACATTTATTTTGTAGTTTTATTACAAATATCAAGAAACGAGACTTACGAGACTTACTGAACTTAGCTTAACAAACAAAAAAAGAGGCACTGCATTTTTTTTTTATCTTAATCGGCTTTTCAGATGCCAACTGATAGTCTAGACTAGTATAGACCCTAGACTTAATAAAAAGGAAGTCGCTCGTCCTATAAAAACGGAACGCTTTTCCGGTCGAACAACATTTGCTAATACGAAGATTATAAATACGCGATTTAAGGATAAAACAGCGATAGGATGCCTTTTTATGAGCGTTTAAAGTTTAGAGTTTATTACTTGCTCGCAAATTGGTTGCAACCAATGCGTTTTATTACTACAGTGGACGCGCTTCCACAGATATTTCTTTCGAGTCGTCGTGGCCTAGAGGATAAGTCGTCCCGGTGCATTCGTATCTAGCGATGCACCGATGTTCGAATCCCACAAGCGGGTACCATTTTTTCTAATGAAATACGTACTTAACAAATGTTCACGATTGACTTCTACGGTGAAGGAATAACATCGTGTAATAAAAATGAAACCCGCAAAATTATAATTTGCATAATTACTGGTGGTAGGACCTCGCGTGAGTCCGCATGGGTAAGTACCACCGCCCTGTCTATTTCTGCCGTGAAGCAGTAATGCGTTTCGGTTTGAAGGGTGGGGCAGCCGTTGTAATTATACTGAGAACTTAGAACTCATATCCCAAGGTGGGTGGCGGCATTTACATTATTGGGCTTTAGTAATCATTTAACACCAGGTGGGCTGTGAGCTCGTCTATCCATCTAAGTAATAAAAAAATAAATATTAGATAACGTTTTTTTTGCACCAATTACACCTTAGTTTTGAACATGAAATTAATTATGAAGAAATGGCTATTTGATAAATTATAATTATTCCAACGGTAAGATATGTGAAGCAAAAATTTGCGTTCTAATATGAGTAAGATAATCATTATGAAAACGCGAATTTTCTACTTCACATTCAATAAAGATGAGACATTCAAAAGTGCATGCTTTAATACACGCATTCGTGACAGTCAAACATTTCGATTTGAAGAGTGGGGACGGATTTATACAATAAAATTATGACTATGAATGCTTGTCTCAAGATAGCGAGGGCGTTCACCTTTGGATATCTATGGGTGAGTTCTTAAGTCCGCCTGACATCGGCCGTGATCACCACCTAATGTTCCTGCTGACAGAATTAACATACTTCGCAACTTCTGTGGTCCTGCCTTCTTAAGCGAGATTTGATTTGCCTTTCCTAAATAGTTAAACGTCATTAGACAAGAATCAGGTATAATAATAATCGATTCATAAAATAGATAAGGACAAAACAGTTGTTTTTTTTTTATTTTTTATTGCCTGTGTAGGCAGACGAGCGTACGGCCCACCTGATGGTAAGTGGTTACCGTCACCCATGGACTTCAGCAATGCCAGGAGCAGAGCCAAGCCGCTGCCTACCGCATAATACTCTCCACAAGCCTCGTTTGAAGAAGGACGTGTCATAGCGCTCAGGAAACACCGTGGAGGGGAGCTCATTGCATAGCCGGATAGTACGTGGCAAAAAAAGGCTCTGGAAACGCACTGTGGATGACCGCAGTGGCTCCAGGTAGTATGGATGAACTCTACTCCGGTGGCGGGCGGTGCGATGGTAAAAATGAGACGACGAGATGGTAAAAACGAGAGAGAGTTGTTATCATCTCGAACAATTCCTCAAAGCACTCCCCATGAAACATGTGGTACAAAATACAAAGGGAACCGAAGTCCCTCCGCAGACCCAAAGGTTCCAAACGATCCGTGAGAATGGGATTATCGACAATCCGAACGGCTCTCTTCTGTATGGAGTCAAATGGAAGAAGCTGGTATTTGGGAGCCCCGGCCCAGAAATGGGAGCAGTACTCCACGCGAGGCCGGACTTGTGCTTTATAGAGCAAAAGTCTTTGTCCAGGCGTGAAGTACCGCTTCGCTCTGTTGACGACTCCCAGCATTTTGGACGCCAACTTGGCTTTGCCATCCCATCATTTTCTTCTCTTGTAAAAATTCTACAACGTTGACTACTTTGTGAACCACTCACTTCGTTATCGGGTCTTAGAAACTCGCTCCTATGCCCCCTAAGTATCCCCAGTCCTCTTAGTCGATAACTCAGCCCTCTTTATTCCCAACTAGGAACAAGCCGCAACATTCGAACTAATAGCGCATCGAAGTGAGTGATACAAAAAGTACTGCCATGCTCGTAACGAATGTCCTTCCACATCGAGCGAAGAATCCTAACCTCCCCATCGATCAATGGCTTCAACAAATAAATACCCAGGGCCAGAAAGATCAAATATCTGGGAACTATCCTACGTACATACATTTTATTTTTGTGTGAAGTGTGTCCGCGATCCTTTAATGCCCAAAAAAGTCTTAACTGCTCAAGTTATTGGTCATAAGCAACTCATTAATCATAAAAGGAGTATAAGCATTGTAAGGTGAAACAGAAAAGAACATAAACCTTTTCACCAGTGCATTCCATCCATAAAAACAAAATCTATTCCGAAGGGTTTCTCTACATTAACATTAGTGAAGCAGTTATGAAACTATAATATTTTAAAATTGTTGCTTTACCATATGCTTTTCTCCGAAAAATCAAACACTATTCATTGGAAAATTTCCGACCTGTAGACAAGTTTTTCAACACACCTTTTTTTATTAGACTAGCCCACTGCCTGTCTGTTGTTACGTAACTAGTAGAGCCCATAGTTATCAGTGTGCTCAGTGCGAGTTTTTTAACGTTCTCGATAGCGTAAAAGTTAACCCAATTTTGTATGCAGTTGGAACAGCGCCTCTAGCGACAAACGTAGGCAAACGATCCCATTCCATACAAATATGAACTAACTTTTACGCTATCGAGAACGTTATAAAACTCGCACTGAGTACACAGAAATTGAACATCATCACTCACTTTGAAATATGAGGTCTCCATTTTAATGCCCAACGTTTATCCCAGCCATCAGCAAACCAGAACAAATGATCAAGTCTTTCAGAAATAAGCAGAAAGTAAAACGAGTTTAATAATTATGCAAGGTGTGGGTTGCAATCAACATATGTCTGAATAAATTAATAAATATAAATAACTAAATTATATTACATATTAAATAATTACTCACAGTTACACACACACACACACACACAGCGTACTTCTTTTTTGTTCATGAATGAATGAACATGAATTTTGGTACATTAGCAAACTTTAGTTTTCGAATCATCCCAAGGTTAACAATGTTGCAATCCGTAAATACATTGAATGTACATACACAAATCTACACGGAATATACATATATTTCTGCATCAAATACATAACCATAAGCTCTATTATTTTACAATATTAAATAAATAAGACATGATATAGGCATTAGTGCAGATAATGTGATAGGAGCACACATTGATAAGCTACAATTATCATTAAACCTTTCCTTTGACAATAGTTCATTCAGACATTATATTTATTAAGTATATCAAGGGGTGAAAAGCTACATATTTGGTTTAATCGACATTCTTGCAACTTTAGAGGAAAGCCATTTAAAATTTTGAATAAAAAATCATAACAAAAACAACTTTTTCAGCTATATGAATAGGGTAAACTTAATCGAAGTCCAATTAAAAACATCGAATTATTGATACTAATACCAAATAAAATGGACCTTTAATTGCAAAGAAAAATGTTGTGTATTAAGGGAAATGTCGCTTAAACCAAATAGCCTTTCACCCCTCAATATTATATAAAAAAATATTATATTAACCAGTATGACCCAGTTTACATATTCTTAATATACTGAACACTGATCTGTTATGATAGGATATTATCCATCCCATTATGTCATTCCATTCCTAACATGTTTTACAAATGACAAAGGATATAATAATAACTAAATTGAAACAACAAGCTGTAGACTGTTCACAGTATTAGTCACCTGCACAAGTCGACAACAATAAGATATGAATGTGATTTTAGATCTTGGGGTTTAAGCCCTTTAAAAATTAAATTTCCTACTTTTTAAGTATTTATACTCAAATAAATAATTGATTTCTAATCAAAAATAGCAATATTACATTTAATTAAAATCACATGAAATTACATGGGCTTTCAATAATATAACAATTGTAAATATATAAATCACTAATCTAAGCACTAATCACACTATTGCAACTTACACCTATAATGTTTTGGGTAGTATCAGAATAAAACCATTCGCATATTAATTCAATATTTATTATATATCATCCAACTGATTGATCACATCAAATCCAATAAATTATTATATTTTAGGTACACAGTTCTTAAAATCTGCCGTATGAGAGCGATTGACCGTATCCCTGCCATTAGTGATAATTATGCGCGACCCTAACCACTTGGTATCAGGAAGTAGTTTCGCCTATGTGCAAAGGCAATTAAAAAAACAGGAATACAATATAACCCTCAAAGATTTGCGTTACCATGGTAACCAAAACACCAATGCCAGCTGATGTTCATAACAAACGTATTTAGATAGAACTGCAGCTTAATATTATACGGGGAATTTATTACTAATCAATCTAGAACGATACGAAAACAAATATGAACATATTCATTATAATTATCAACAGTGAATATTAGTTTTATACATAGATACAAGAATATAACCTAAAAATGTAATTACGAATGATTTTCAAAAACATACCCATATGTCATTTTCCCAGAATATGTTGAAGTTCTGATGCACACCTAGTAAAATAAGTTAAAACTTATTCATTTTTTCCCAAAAAAGACTACATGGAATGAACCAAAACTATAAACACAAAATGCTAAAAACAAAACTGCTGCTATTTGTCACATTGATTTTTTTTTAATTTTGATTCGTCCGTTGGGTAGGCAAAGAGTGCAATGCCTATACATCCAAAGCTTTTATAATTAAGGCCGAATGTCTATTGAATGTTAAGTAATATTGAAATGATTTTGGAAATGAAATAAAATAAAATTAGGTGAAATAAGAAAACACTATTTATGTGGGATCAAATGAAGTAAAAAGCTTTTCTGTAAAATGGTGGGAATTCACTAAGAATTCAAAAATTAGGAAAAGGCTCCCAAAATCACTTCCAACGATTTTGTTGGATGTTCTCACAATTGTGAACTTCCACAGATTCGAATAAACCAATAAATCACCATTAATACACGTTTAAGCCTTAAAACAATAAAGTAATAATATTAAAAGAAATGTAACGAAAATGAAGACAAGTTAAGTGAATTGTTTATTTTAAAAAAGTAAACTATTTACTTAACTATTATTATATTCCCATCGGTGTTTTTGGCAGGAACGCGAAGAGTGAAGTTGTGTGAGTTGTTTTATTTTGTCATTTTAGTATTAGGGTTTTAATGGGTATTAATGGTGGCTTAGTAAATTTTTAGTGTTGGAGTTTGGATATCTAAGTAATGGCAGGCAACACTTGGCACATGTGAAGTAACAGTTTTCGAATATTGGAATGTTTATTAAAATGTTTAAAACAGATGATTGTCTTCTCTATAATGATGACTAGAACTTCTCATCTAGATAAGGACAGTGCAACATCTTAGGGTTTTATAAAAATAAAATATAGTAATGATGTAATGTGTACAAAGTGTTTGTAATATAATAATATATTAACCATTAAGCAGTGTTTTAAAATAGTCCCTCACCTGCAGAACCCAATCCCCTTAAATTTAACCGTCCAACATTTAGCATGTCATTGTGTGAAAGGACACAAATGTGTGGAAATGTAACAAAGCGGACGGACGGTTCTTCTCGGGTTTACACAGCCCACTGAGTTTCTCACCGGATCTTCTCAGTGGGTCGCGCTTCCGATCCGATGGTAGATTCTGAGAAGCACTACTCTTGCTAGGGCTAGTGTTAACAAATTCTCTCAGGTTGAGCCCGTGAGTTCACCTACCCGTCAGGGTGTAGCTGGAATAGCCTCATAGGCTACCAACGAATATGTAGAGAAATAAAAACAAAAAATTTTGGGTTCTTCCAAAAAACCCTTGAAAAAGTCTCAGTAAATAACTATTATGTAAATATAATAAAAATTTAATACTTTATTTCGTCCTGGTGACAACTAATTTTATCCCAATTGATTAAAGTCTCAAAATAATAAACTTCATCTCATTTCATTTCATATCGTTTTTCAAAATATAGTACAAGAGGTTAATTAATTAAAGTTAAGTTAGTTAATTAGAGTTAATTAAAGGTCTCGTTACCAGAACATAAATAAATAAAAATATATTCCCGCCAAAAATCCAATATGTTTATATTTTGTTTACGGCCATAGGTAACACGTTCATTTCTTTCTTCTTGAATGGATTATACTCGTAGTCGTCTGCAAAGAGTATGTAACACTACGTTTAGTCGTCTGTAACAATTTGCATACTCTTTAACAATTTTAGATGAATTCGAGATGCTCTGCACTTTTGTTCTATTTTCTTTTTCGCAAATTCTAATGACATTTGTAGAAGTTTCGTTTATAATATTAGGCAACTCGCAAGAAAACAGGTGTCTACCAAAAAAGTAATCACCGTTTTCTCTCAAGGTCAACTTCTTTAGTTCTACCAGCTCCCGTAATTAATAATTCAAATAAATAGTGTTTTTGTACAATCCACAATGAACTTGCAGTGTTAGTGTAATAAAAGGTTAATAAAAGGTTTTTGTGTTATTTATTATTTATTACACTTTATACTGGTATTTAAACTTATCTAAATACCTACCTAATACCTAATACCTAATACCGAAACCATTTTAAAAACTGTTACACTATAGTAGAATTATTTTGTCCGTGCAGTTTGGGTAATAAAAAATCGAAGCGGTGAAGCGAGTATTTCGCTCTCTCTTCCACTCACGAGCCTTATGGACGGGCATAGTGATGCGCATTATTGTTGTCGATAAGCGTTATCGATAGTGTATTAAATTTTGTCATTTTGTGGGTTTGTGATAAAAATGAAAGAAAAAATCACTAATCGTACACTTACAACACATATCGCCGCAGCTAGTTAACGAGAATGGCAGAAATTAACACTTTCTAACTTTTCGGTACCTATTCTTATTTCAATGAAAAATTTTAACACATTGTTGATAACAACACGTGCAAATATTATTTTGAATAAATTCTGCTGTTTTGATACAAAACAAAGGAGGAGCCATTGTGTCACCAAAGAAATTCAGAGAACGAATGCATAAAAACACATTTATCTTCGACATAATGTACTATAATTTGCAGGTAAGTACAAAACTATAATTTGCAGGTAAGTACAAATGACTCTTAACATAATAATGTCGCACCACCCTTCGTATACCGCCCCGCCGCCGTGTATCTGCCTTCGATGACTCATTTATTTTTATCGATAATGACGATGCGCCCGCGCAACATGCTCACCGCCCTAGCCGGGCTATGTTTTATGACCCAAACTGCACGGACAAAATAATTTTACTTTAGTAGATATGTAAGTAAGTACCTTTTTCCTAAGGTAAAATAAACAAAAACTATCTTTTATTTTATGTAGGTATATTTCAATTGCTGATATAGTCCATCCTAAATTATGAAATACCGAATCGAACAAACTGTTTCAAGTCATTTTGCACCCGAATGTTAGCGAAGAGTAATGTTTGCAAGCATGCATATGTACATATATGCCTTATTATTTGGCATACTCTGCGGCCTAAATCTCTTGATGGATTTGAACACTAATCAGCATTTAAATTGTCTTCGTTCTAAAATTATAAAGTATCTAGGTAGGGATATGTTTTTTTTTAAATGGTGGCGGTGAAGTTATGCGTTCCAGTTTGAAAGCTGTGACATCACGATTGAGACTCCGACCTCAAATCTCAAGGTCGGTGGCGGTATTAGTTATGACTATACCAAGGCCGGAAGGTCGTTAACCTTCTTATACAATAAAAAAGAACTTCCTAGGTATGATTAGATTCGTATCTGTGGCAAAGGCTATACCTACATTTAATTTCAGGTAGGTATCCGCGAAATAACAATAAAATAATGAAAATGCTGCTCATTGTATTTTATAATACAGAACATAGATGTATTTTCTTTTATTTCTAACCAAATAGGTAGAAAGTTTCAAATAAAATAAATTATTGAGCGAAACAAAAAAATAGCGGCTGTACCTTAATTTTTTTATCATGTCTTATTCACTCTTTAATTAATATCTATAATTTAGTCGCGTTTTTATTTCATTTCTTGCCTATTTTTGTTATTGATTCAGAAATCACGTATATCTTCTTTGCGTATAAGGGTGGTGGATTAAAAAACATATCCAAAATGTTTGACACTGTGTTCATTTTCAAAAAAATATTCTGTACTTACTATGAAACATTGACGTATTATGCCCAATATATTAAACTATTTCTAAAACTGAAACTCGAATAAGCTGCTAAAATCAACGACATCGTTGAGTTTCTTTGATTATCATCTTAAGCGTGTCTGATTCTTTTCACTGGCCCCCCGGAGTGGTTCTTAAGACGCACATACTTGCATCGCCTTTCCTAAAATATACCAACAAGATTTCGTTTTCCGTATTTCTCCATATTATCCGTAACTTAGTAGATCTTCAAAATTAAACATTTTAAATCGGCACTATATAGAATATCCAAGTCTCCCATTTGAAAGAGCGATTAAATAATGCTCTTAATAACAAAAAACACTACTTTTTCGGTCTATTTAACTTTGAGAACTAAGGGATTTTTCAAAAATGTGTTTAAGTATTTTAACAAAAAAGAATAGATGTCACAACTGCTGAGGTTACCGAAGTGCGTTGACACGTCAGGGTGATTATCGCACAAATGGAACCATGAGATTGCAATCAGATAGCCTATCATCCAAACGAGACCCATTGTAAATTGTTTCTTAATGTTCTTCTTCAGTCCACGGTATCAAATATATCTTATACGATATTTCATTTGCGAACTGTTTTAATTGTTACAAATATATAGATGGTTACAATACCATGCTAGCTGCTAGCCAATCTTAATTCAACCGTGTACGATATGATACGACCAATGCGATTTTAGCATGCGCAAACGCGCTGAAAAATCTAATGCATTCACATTTGATAGTTTTCGATATACAAAACAATTTGTATTACATAGTTACTAGTGGTCCCGCAGTAGTCGAAATTCGACTATAATTAATTGAAATTATAAGTTTGAACATTATTATGATTCTATAGTCAAATTATATAATCACAGATTTCGCCCAGACTACACTTTAGGCAAAAAACAAAAAATATTTAATATATTCACTTCACATATTTAATATAATCAAGCAATAAGAAAAGTTTGACAATATACAAACAGTATGCATGCGTGTGTGTGACAAATACATGGTAGTGTGTTTAATGTTTTTTTATTGATTTATTGTATTTTTTATGCATAATTTTAGAAAATTTGAGCATTCTGCACTTCTACTCTAAGTGTGGGAAATTTCATACTGCTCCGTCCGCGCAATTTTCGTAGAAAGGGATACAAAGTTTTTGCTTCACGTATTAATTAATATTTAGATGATTATTTGTAAATTCCTCACATCACAATGCATTAAGCGTTCGCGCACTAGCCAGGTCGTTGATCGTAACATTTCCGTCACACATTGATTTTTGTGTGCACTAACTAGCACAAAAATAGCTGGCCGGGTGTCGTTGCGTGCGCGCCACCAGTCGAGAGATCGATGCTGGCCATCCAGCTCGTCCCATCCAAAATACTCACAAAAAACCTCGACCGAGTGCCTTACAGCGTTGAATGGAAACCCGAACCCGCCGTGAATTTTGGATTGTGCACAATATCTGGAATGAATGTGTGGATTTAATCTTATGTGATTTGTGATCGGCTAAAATCCCAATAAGTAGTGCATTGTGATTATTTGTTTGTGGATTGCCCTTCGTACCTGGTAATTCGTTTTGCAATATTCCATAATTACACTAAACGATTTTCCTTAAAAATTAAATTCTTTTAGTTAAGCTTGTTTAATTTACTCGATATTTAAATAAATTTTAGTGTATGAAGCGTCTGAAGCTCACGATTAATTACATGAGAAATTTATAAATTGAAAGTAGTATAAATTCTTCTGCTGCGTAAAACAGTAGGAAGATCAACATTGCAAAACCGTTAAGGAGAAAAGTGTGATAAGAGTAAAGACACAATTTTGCTTTTACAATAAATTATTGTGCTAACAATAAAATCACGGCCAGAATAAGTTTTTTTTAATGATTTAATTCATAATTTTTTATGACCTTTGACACCCTCGTTGTCACCACAGCAGCAGGAGTGCCTCTCGCGCGTGAAGTCGCAGGTTTCGGACGGGACCGACACCACTATGTTTAGTTTTTAGTGTTGTCGTACAAAGTACTCTTAGCTTAGATAGAATACTTAAATAAAATCATTAAAAAACGGATATAAATACACACAGTTATCTTGCCCTAATCTAGGATTATCTGTATTGTGAAAAGCAAAAACTGACATATATACTTATAAACAGTTTAAAATATACATATGTAGACATTAAACACCCAGAAAAAGAGCAAACAAAGCTGTCATCAGAATGTTTGTCTGTAAGAATCGAACCCACAACAGCAGTCAGAGGTTTTAAATACTGCGTCGCAAGGTTTCATTAATTGGTTGACACGACAACAATGACGCGAACTGTTCGAAGGCCTGATAGCGTAGGATATATTATATTCGGGTCCGATGAATGTAGAAACCTAGCAGATGATATAGGCGGCGGCTTGGCTGTGCCCCTGGTATTGCTGACGTCATGAGCGACAGTAACCACTCACCATCGGATGGGCCGCAAGGTCTTCTGCCTACAAACACCATTAAAAATTATGACTAAGGTTTTCTCTATTAACAATAAAGATAACAACAAGTGCTCTCAAAGCCCATCTATCTAAAATCCCCAGGCTCTTCCCAAGACATTGACAGATAATTACTAAATTTCCATCTGTCCAATCACAACAATCACAATACCACTTAATCAAAATTAGTTTCCTTATTAATAAAAAGCTATCATATTATAAACTTGAATGAAACCTGAATAAAATCAAAAACTAAAATCTGGTAATGAATAGTCCAAATGACAATAATGTACTTTTTCAATAATACCATGAAAATTATTTTGATTTGGTCAGTCGAGAAGTCTTGTAAGTAAGACAGCTTCACAATTTCGTCGGTTCTCTAGCTACCTAGGCGTCAGCTGATTTCGAATACATTGCATTCAGATTAGCAGTAATGCGTTTCGGTTTGAAGGGTGGGGCAGCCGTTGTAAATATACCTGAGACCTTAGAACTTATGTCTGAAGGTGGGTGGCGCATTTACGTTGTAGATGTCTATGGGCTCCAGTAACCACTTAACACCAGGTGGGCTGTGAGCTTCGTCCACCCATGTAAACAATAAAAAAAAATCTACCGTTTCGGAAGACCGTTTAGTGTTATGTAATATAATAACGGAAAATAAGTATGTCAATTCATTGAAGAATATGTTACCAACATCCTCCCTATTCATGTCATAAAGATTATTTAGAGTATATAGTTAGCATCAGCTAGCAGTAATCACATTGTAATGTCTACGGATTCCAGTTACCGCTTAAAACCATATAGACTGAGAGCGTGCTAACCTAGGCAATAAAAAAATAAACAAAACAAAACGTGTCAAAGAGCCCACAATGATGTAGCTAGAATTAACGGCCCATGGTTAAATTCGAATCTAGTATTCCCTTTTAATATTATTTTTTGGATCTCAAACCCCAAACTTTTAAAAACTACCCAACGCAGTATCTTTTTTACGCTTTCGAACCACAGAAATGTTCCCAGACAATATGTTTTGGTTATAAAATCGCTTTGACCATACTGGAACGTTGTTTTGGAAGTTATTATTCTTAGTCGTCTGCACTTTTGGCAGGGTGGCCGTGGTCGTCAGTTATCATAGAGTTAAATATTAAATTAACGGCTACAGATGTACTTAAGTATGAGAGAATAGCGGTCATTAAAAAAAGTAGTAGAGTAGAAGTAAAAGTTGTCACCTTTCTGTGACAAATGTTGTGAACAATCGTAACGACTCATCCCGAGTTAAAGGGTTAGATGAACGGGTGGTGCGGTAGTGTTGAATTCACTCAAAAGAATTGTATCGAAGCAAAATTGTAATTTACTGGTTGTAGACCGTGTTATAAGCCAGCACGGAGAAGCAGGACCATCTTGCCCATTTCTGCTGCCAAGCGGTCATGCATTTAAATTTTAAAGATGGCAATACCACTAATACTTTAACCACGAGCCTTAGGATAAATGGCGACACTGCACCTTGTGATGCCTATAAGCTCTGGTTACCACTTATAGCTGTAAATAAATAAATAAAACATTCCAGTAACGATCAGAACATTGGACAGTAAATCATTCAGCTTTCAGATGATGAAAAACGTCTTCAAAACAAACAATATTATTCGTCACCAAAAATCTCGAATCAATAGCGAATCGATAAATTGTCATTCATAGACTTTGTTCCGAGATCGCAAATGCTCTTAAATAATTATTAGACATCACAATAATATGATTCATCGCATAATATCACTTTAGCCATAAATGTAACATATTAAAATGCATTATAATCGGGTCGTGGCGGTAATACCAAATAATATAACCACCAATTTAAACACGCTCGTCATAAAATTTGCTCTAAGTAATTAAACAATGCTTTATTGTATTATGGCGCTCGAATTAATTCTTAACAATGTTTTAAGCAGTCGTTTTAAGTAGTTATTCATCAAGACATTGCCAATCAACAAATTAACGGAAGCCGGTGCTAAATATAATCGGCACAAAAGGTGGGAACACGTCTGAAAGTCGTTGACTCGTTTTATTTCACTTCACCACAAGGGAAACGCATTGTAACAAATCTCAGAGACCGTAGCCTACGTCATCTGATGACATCACGCATGCCGTCTGGATCTGGAGTAGACATCAAATCCTGGCACCGATCCAAGATCATACAGTCAACGCTTTCGCGAGTAATGGGGACGATGCGTTCGATTCGACATCACTGTGTCGATTTACTATTCAAAATACACCTCAAATTCTGGTCAGTGGGGCGAAACGATTCAAAACAAATGTTTTGGTTTCAGAACCTGTAGAATGATTCGAAGTGTACGCTAAAGATGAACAATGGGACGAGACGAGCCTTGACCGGCTCCATTCACAAAATTAGAGAATTTGAACTGGAAAAAGTAAGATTAATTTAATTTGTATCTATAAATATTATGTATGTTATATCTACACATATGTTTAAGTAATATCACCTTCACACTACACCTACCAAGCTTCATCTTTGCACTCCCCTAAGGTAGACTGTTAGAGAATGCCTATGGCATTAAGTCCGCCTTTATACTTTCTAGTATAAGAAGTTATAAATAAATAAAATAAAAATAAAAATTCTTAAATAGGTAATCGTTTTTGATAAAGATACGAATTAAGACAGTAGGTGATAGCGCGATTTGCAGTTAATTTTTTTAAGAATATTTTCTCGATTTCCTTTCCAAACATTGCAAATTATAGTATTAAAATTATAAATGTCACTTAAGACCATAAAATCAGTTTAAATCACAGCATTATCATAAACTTTTTGTTTCTAGGTGAGTTTGGTTGAAGAATTCGATATATTACAAATCGTTGGTGAGGGATGGTTTGGAAAGATTCTTCTTGTTGAACACAAAGCATCGGACACTGAAATTGTGCTGAAAGCGTTGCCTAAACCCTATGTCTCTATACGGGACTTTTACAGAGAGTTCCATTACAGCCTCCACTTAGGTGCGCACCGGAATATTGTGACGACATTTGATGTGGCTTTCGAAACAGCTGGTTTTTATGTGTTTTGCCAAGAATATGCGCCACTAGGTAAGAAAAACACTGTTATTTTATATTTTGTTTCTGGCGACATTGTAATTTACATTTTAGAGGATATTTCTTAGCCTAGTCTCTAATTAATTGTTATTTTTTCCTACCTATTCTAGTGACCTCGAGAGGTAATACTAGATTCACTGAGCTGGTCTCTGTTTAAGCCGTGGTACAGCTCTTAAATGTATACAGTGGCGTAGCGATCGTAACTAGCTCCCGGGGCACAATACCTTTTTAGCAATATTAATCACTAGTCCCTCCCTCCGTGCGTCATGTTCTGAGGGTCGTGATCTTTACGGAGCACTTTTTTTAGGACTATGTTGTATGTAATTACTAGTAGTAGAGCATTTTATGAGCCCGCCCTGGTAGGTACTACCACCCTGCCTATTTCTGAAGCGTTTGAAGGATGAGGCAGCCGTTGTACTTTATAAATGAGATTTAGAAGTCATCTCTCAGGGTGGGTGGCAGCAATTACATGTTGATATCTATGAGCTTCGGTAACGACCTAAAATCAGGTGAACCGTGAATTCACCTATATAATCCATAAAAAAAAATCCTACGTCATATCTCAGGATGAATGACGTCACAAGACTTTTGGAGACGAATGACATTCATAAACAGAAGAGTCGTAAGCTCGCCCATCTCTGCAATAAGAACTTGAATCATAATTACAGAGTTAAATATTAGGATTTTGACAATAACATAGAAACGCTCAAAAATATTTGTACTCACAGCTAATACCGACTTATTACCCATAACATTGGTAACCCATATTACTGGTGGTAGGACCTCTTGTGAGTCCCCACGGGTAGATACCACCACCGTTGCCATGCGTTTCGGCTTGAAGAGTGGGCAGCCGTTGTAACTATACTGAGATCTTAGAACTTATATCTCAAAGTGAGTAGCGCATTTACGTTGTAGATGTCTATGGGCTCCAGTAGCCACTTACCATCAGGTGGGCTGTGAGCTCGTCCACCGAATCTAAGCAATAAAAAAGAAAAACATTTTTATTATTTTGGTGTTGTACACTTTTAAGAAACACAAGCCATGCATGCCTTTACAATGAGTATGATCGATAGCAAAGCTAAGAAAGTAACCGATCTTATCTGTTCTTAATAAGTATCTTATATAGCTAAAACGAGACACGTTTTAAACAATTCACTAAAAACTGTTTCGAAGACAATAGATGATGCACTTTATCGAAACAATATATATAAAAATTAGGTGCTTTACATCCGAGTCTATATTCACCTCGCTGCTACTGATTGGATATTTGCCAGATACATTCGATTTGAATGAGCATCAACGAGACTCATATTTCCAATACCGGACGCTATTGAAAGATGGATGTAAACAGAGAATAACATCTCATCTCTGATAAATATACATTTGAATTAAATTTAATAATAGTTTCATAACAGGAGGAGGAACATCAATTAGATTGTGTTCTCTTAGAACTTTTTTCTAGGCGAACCGAATTTTACCAATGATCAATTGAATTTGAGTTATTCATAATAATGTTAGTGATTTTAACTAAATCGATGACATTTTATTATGTTTTTGTCAGTGTCCTTTTTTTTAAAGATTTTATATTAACTTATTTATGGAACTGTTATAATAACATCAAGTTTTGTATTTCAGGTGATCTTACATCTAACATGTTAGATACGGGTATAGGTGAAATCCATTCAAAGAGGGTGGCAAAACAATTGGCTGCAGCCTTAGACCATATTCACCAAAGAGAACTAGTTCATAGAGACGTTAAACTAGATAACATATTAATATTCAAATCAGATTTTTCTAGAATTAAGCTATGCGATTTCGGAGAAACGAGGAAGGTTAACGCGGTGGTTAGAAGACGCAATGAATGGTTGCCGTATTCCCCGCCGGAAGTGTTAAAACTATCAATGGACAGCAGCTACAAGTGAGTGAGGGTAGTTAGATATTTTTTTGCACAACTTTCACGGTAGCCAGCGGCTTGGCTCTGCCCCTGGCATTGCTGAAGTCCATGGGCGACGGTAACCACTACCGTCAGGTGGACCATGTCGTCGTTTTTAATTTGAAATCTCCTATGTATATAAATGTTGTTTTCGAGAAAATCTAATAAAATTTCCCCCGAAAAAAAATTAAGTAATTATTTTTTTTTGGCACATAGGATAGTTTGATCTATACTTACTTATATATTATAAAGAGGAAAGATTTGTTTGTTTGTTTGTTTCAAATAGGCTCCGAAACTACTGGACCGATTTGAAAAATTCTTTTTTCATTAGAAGCCGACATTGCCCCTGATGAACATAGGCTACTTTTTTTATTATTTTTTATTTTTATATTTTTGGTTTCATGTGTGTTTTAATGTTTCCGAAGCGAAGCGAGGGCGGGTCGCTAGTCTACAATAAAATGCAAACCGACATTTAGGATTTATTATGATTGATACGTAATAAAGTGAAATATTGAGATATGCACATGGGAGTTTTTCCTGAGTATAGGTATTCAAAATAACTTTCATAATATATGAAAACACAATTTTGGCCTGAAATTTCACATAGGAGATTTTAAATTTGCAACGACAATATGCTCGTTTGCCTACAAGGGCAATAAAAAAAACTGTAAACTGAACGACACAATTACTCTATGGAGGGTTGAAGTAAGGAGCACGATCTTAATGTATTTTTTTTTATTGCTTAGATTAATGGACACACAGCCCACCTGGTGTTAAGTGGTTACCGTCGCTAATGGACGTCTGCAATGCCAGGGTCAGAGCCAAGCCTGACTATCGTTTAATACTCTCCACAAGCCCCGTTTGAAGAAGGACATGTGATAGCGCTCGGGAAATATCGTGGAGGGGAGCTCATTCCAAAGCCGGATGGTACGTGGCAAAAAAGATCTCTGGGCAAAAAAGATCTCTGTTACACTCACTACACGATTCGTTATGAAACCGAATTTCGGTTCATCATCACCAGCCGCAGAACGTCCAAAAAACCATTTACACATCCATCTATGTTGGAATTTCTTGATTGCTTTACAAAAATGATGAAAATTTGTGAAACAGTCCGTCCACACTAATACTCAGGCGTCTATACAGCATTTGCCTTGGGAATATTATAGAACATCGATCTATTTTAATATAAATAAATAAACATTTCAAATACTTAGAAACGGCTTCAAATAGTTAGTGAGGCAATTCATAAAACACACATTGTTTCGTAATAAAGCAATAAAGCTTGCAAGGTTTCAGACGCATTATACGTTTTTAACGCGCCTGTTTATTCATTTTTCTTTCAGAGCATTAATTACCCACGATGTTTGGCAATTCGGTATAGTTTTATTTATTTGCCTCACCGGATGCCTGCCTTGGCAGAAAGCTGCTTTCGACGACCCCCGCTACACAAGGTATGCCTCAATTTCTCTTTTAATTCTCAGCATCGTTTTGGCACCGATGAACAGTTATAAAAATTCCACGTTTTAGCTATTACAATTGGTACAACAGTTCGAATCCATTAAAGAAACAACCGAAGCTCTGGAAAATGGTTTCCTCTAGAGCGCAGAGGATGTTTAAAAAGTTCGTTGAACCCAGAGAAGAGAAGAGGGTTAATAATCTACTAGAACTGAATCGATATTTAGATGATCGGTGGCTTGCGAAAGGATACACAGACAGAGTCGGTTAGTAGCTTTTTTATCTTTGTATTCGAGAGCAAGAGAGGCTTGGCCGTCTGGTGGTGAATGGTTACCGTCTCTGGTGGTAGTTAACAAAAGTTAGTTGAGTACTTTCCTCAAATTCCGTTTGAAGAAAAGACATGTTATTATATCCATTTTCTTCTTCTTTTTCTATTTGCCCTTATCCCACATTATGTGGTCGGCGCGGCTTATAGCCATGTCATGCTGCATAAGGATTGGGCATGAAATTTAAGACCGGCCGTCTGTCTAGCATAAGCCCTCTTTCGGATCTCTTCAGTACTCCAGTACTCCATAGGAATAGCTTTTTTCTTTCTTCTTTTCATATTTCTTTTGTTTCATCCGCTTTTTGTTCTATAAATTCCATTTTATTATTATTATTATTAACATTAACATTTTCAAATACCATTTTATTCGTTCTTCAGCAACATCAAAATGAAAGTAAAAAAAAATTATAACTGTATAATATTTTTTACATATTTCAGCCGGTGAAGACATAGACGAACTCTGTCCATCCATGTACAGTTTTCACAGCGACCCGAATGAGAAAAACATACTGCTCCAACATTTTAGGCACAATGGCCTCGAGACAACTGTAGACAGACAAGCCAAAAAACAAAGAATACGAGACTGGATACAAAATAGTGTCATAGAAGAAGCCGATGAAGAGGTGGGTTCTATTTTACTGCTTAACTACAAAAATATTCGTGTTATTTAATTTTAAGCTCTGTTTCTTCAACAGGAAGATGCATATGAGCCTAGCGTGTACGAAGACAGCGATATAGAACTTGACCACAGACCAAGGAACTACCCAATAGACGATTCCCACAGAGTAACCCTTCGGTACGACACCGAAAAGCATATCAACCCAAGAACCGGTGAAGTCATCGAAGGAGCGAAACCTTCAGCTCCCGAAAAAAAACCTCTATCGTACGACGTTCAACATATTGAGCCCGTGGCCCCGACCGATGTCGTGAGGCGATACGGCCAAAATGACGCATCCCAAAGCTCAACAAAAGACAGCGCTTACGGATCCATGGAAGTTAAAGCAAAAAGAAACGCATACAAAAACAATCAAAAACATTCTACATCTCTCGAATACGGTATAAATAATCCTCCGAGTAGATCGCTAAGTGCCACCTCTATACAACAAAACAAGTCGCCAATCACAAGCCACGCTCAAAGGTTTCAAAGGAGCGAAGAAGTCTATTCAAAGGAATTGGAAAATTTAAAAGGAAGCTCATCGACTCTGCATTCTTTGGCGCACTCGTCTAGATCTAACAGCATCCAAGCGACACACAGCAGCTCCTTCGATAGTCCCACAATTGTAGGCAATAATGTTGCTACACAAAATGAAAGTCCAGTATTATCTTCTAGTCATAACAGCAGCTTTGAGAAGCAACAGAATGGCTTAATTCCTCCAAATTCAACGATGCAACAGCACAGGCCGTCGTATGTATCAATGAAAAGCACTCCTTACGACAATGTTTCGTTCAAAACCGAAAACTCTGATGGAAAACCTGAAACCTCGACGGTTAATGGGAAAAACGAGGAAAACAAGGTTAGTCCCTATTCATCAATGGTGAATATAGTACAAGGAAAAATGAAAATAAATCCCCATCAAGATGATGCCAATAAAAATGCGATAAGCGTTTCAGTGACGGCAGTCAAACAAAATCAACAAAACAAAACAGGGAGAAAGAAATCATGAACACAACATACCTACTTATGAGTATACTTATTTGTAATAACCCTTCAATTCTCTATTACATTGGAATCCTTTGCTTTCTTTCTTTTATTCGAAATAATTCGAATTATTTATCGATACGACCAACATGATAAACGTTAATTGTCGTGTATTTGCTTCAAAGTACAAAAGTACGGTGTGCCTTTATTGGCTGTGATTATGTAACCTGTATGAATTGTAGAAGCGGAGTGTAAGGGTCGGTCTCGAAGACTTATTCCGAAAAATTATAATGATGAGAGAAACTATATAGAGTGCGAATGGATAAGAGTGACATTTTAGTTAAAAAAAAGCCCGCTAAAAGTCAAACAGTAGTATGTACCGGATCACTCTATCACCAAATTTTAATATTCGCTTGAAAATTTACAGTTTGAACTACATTCGGAATTTTCATCTGGAACTTTCCTTAAAAAGGTTTTTTGGCTTCAGCGACGTCATCTCAATTTAATCCTTTTACACTTATAGGTACCTAGTCAGTTCAATTTTCCAAAAGGAAAGGCTATGGTATGACACCATACAGCTTAATCTTTTATATCTCTATTATATTTATATATTCTGTTAATAGAAAAATAATATTATGGAGTGGATAGTCCTTTGCTAATTTTCCGATTTCATGCCCTAAAATAGTCCTCTAATACCTCTACGCTCCATAGTTCTGATTTAGTATGTAAGAAAGGGAATGTAGGTTATACGTAATGTAAAGGGTGCGCTGCAGTCAAGATCGTTCTTTGCTGGGATTAGCTGGGATTTAAAATTACAAAAACGATACCTACTAAGAGTATTAATATTGCCCTTATAGGATGTAAGATACTCCTATTATGAATCATTGTTTGAATACCCGGTTAAGATAAATTTAAAACATTAGTGTTACATTCGGGATCGATTCACTACACCCTGTATATTAAACGTTGACTAACTTTGAGTTAAGAATAGATTACGTTAGAATGAAGACAGATTAGCTCTACGTTTTAATTTTAGATGTTGTGCGTGACTTCTGCACTAGTTTTCGTCTGCCGATAAAGTATAATAGTAATCTTTTTAGATTTCAATGTGAGTGACATTCTTCGCTTCGGGTGGCATTACCGAGAGCCCTCACAAATAAAAAAAAATAAAGAAACATCTTTTTTTTTTAAGAAATGTATTAAATAAATTAAATGAAACTTTCGTATGATTCGTCCGAAATTAAGTATAGGTACAATAATATGTTTACTGGTTGGGTGAGGAATTTTACAGTTGGTTATTATTTTCACAGACATTTTATTAATAGAGAAAGACTGGGTAGTCTTCGTGGAAGAAATATATTCTACGCTCTCCTTCTACGCAAATCTCAAAATAGCATTAATGGTTATGGCGGGTTCTCCATACCTGTAATTAATTTTGATGACATTCATTGTTGTTACACTACAGTAAAAAATTTTGAACAATTATTAAAGTGACTATGAGGAAATATATAATTATCTGTTTCACAATATATCAGGAATATTAAAAAAGTGTAAATTATAATAACACAAATTATTTAAAACATTAATTTCTTGTGTATTCAGTGGCCGACCTCTTATTTTTACTTTATCAGAATAAACATATTTGTATAATGGAATGCTAATTAAATTGTAGATTTAAATGATATTTATACGTATGTTATAAGTAATTGAAGCTCAAAAGTTATGTCCCAGACTATTTCCTTGAATGAATAAGGACGTAAATGCCGATACACGTTTTTAGTGATTAATAAAAGTGGATAAATCTTAAAAAGTGTAGTATACGTTAAATATATCGAGGGGTGAAAAGCTATTTGGTTTAAGCGACATTTCGCTAAATACGCGATATTTATCTTTGTAATAAAAGGTCCGTTTCATTTGGTATTAGTAACAACAGTTCGATGTTTTCAATTGATCTTCAATTAAGTTTACCCCATTCAAATAGTTTTTCCAAATTTGAAACTTTAAATGGCTCTCCTGTATAGTTGCAAAAATGTTGCTTAAACCAAACAGACTTTGACCCCTCGATATAGACTATTGTAAATGTATTATTTCATTAAAAACATTGTGCCCCCGAAAACCTTGTCTGAATAACCCACACGAATGTCCTGAAACTTGTAACAAAAATCTAATTATGATGAGCATCGAATAAAATGGCGTCCACTTTACGTGGATATATGAGGAGATTCAACGAATAATGGGCAGTGCCGTTCTCTGAGTTGCGATCTAGAACTGGCATTTATTAGTTACGGAGTTTATTTTAAGCCCGCAGGGTTGAATAGCTGCTGGATAACTGGTAATTGCTTATTTCTGACGCGCAGTGATTATGTTTTCCGATTCAAAGGCTAGAACAACCTTTTCTTTTCAACCTATTCGTTGGTAGCCTATTCCAACTTCACGCGGACCGGTAGGTGAGCTCACGGACTCAACCTGGGATAATTGCTAATACTAGTCCTAGCAAGAGCAGTGCTTCACTGAATCTACTACCCGATCGGAATCGCGACCCACTGAGAAGATCCGGCGGGAAACTCAGTGGGTTCTGTGTCTATGGGGTAGTACGCGCGTTCTTTGTCGCAATCGATGGGTACGGCGAGGACGCTGACCTGTGGATAATGAACCTAAACATTACAGTGTAATGAATTGTCACGCCTTATCTGTTTAGTAAAATGTACCTATACTTGAATTAGTATACCAAAATTTAGAACAGAAGCCATAGACTTTTTTGTGACAAAAGCCATAAACTATGTCAATTAAAAAGAACATTGCATGGCGTTAAACTTTTAGTTTAGTGTAATAATTTATAAATACCTTGTTTGAGTTCAGTCTTAATCAAAACGTCTATTGTCTATCCACCCCACCATATGATTGAGTTGCAGCGTTTGTATGTTTCCTGACTATTGCTAAGAAATAAAGATCCTTAGCGGGAATGCCAATAGTTTAATTTCCTCTGCCGATCTAATTCGATAAATCAAACCAATAATATTAGTAAACTCGATTTTCGGACTCAAATCGAGCTCAGTATTATTAATTCTCATTAAAATTGATAAGCAGAGTTCTGTTAAAAAAAAAACAATATGCCATGTTTAGTCAAAGTGCCTAGTAGTCAAATAATATCTCGAAAAACCACTTAGTTCCAATTATTCAAACCTGGTGTACATGATCGGCTAGATGATGTAATTTTAACGATCGTAAAGATAACATTTGATCGTAAAGACATGACCACACCATTTAACAGATTAGTCTAAAGGCAGATTTTATCCACAATAATAAATCGATTTTTCGAAAGCCACTGGGCGTAGTTTCTCGGGATCCTCCAAAGAGTCCACTGTACGAGTTTCAGTAAATAACCACCATTTTACTGAGATTATATTTCATCCCATATCATCTCATTTAATTTCATTTAATTTCATGCCAATTGATAATTGTTCCAAATTAATCAACTTCATTTCATTCCATATTACCATTTTTCTTAAAAAAATAAAATAAAATTAGGCAGTATAGTATAATAACTTTGCCTTTCTAGTTCGAAAAATAAAACTACCACTACGCAACGTCAAAATTGTCAAATTGAAGGTTCCGTTTTGTTTTCTATTCTAAAAAACGGCATACCGCCGTGGAATATTACCAAAAAATGAGCGTTTATCAGTAATACCTAACTTTCATCATTTACTTCAACCTTCAAAACCCGTGCTGTGCACAAATCAAGCATAATAAACCTGCTAAATTATTTTATTTATCCAGAATAGCATGTATCCTAACCTCATTTGAAGTTCGGATAAATTAACAAAAAGAATATTTGTAAATTATTTAAAAATGCAAAAACTACAAGATAGCGTTTTTTCTATTATTAAAACAACAAACTTATCTCCAGCTGTGTTCAGCTTCCTACAGCCTAAAGAAGAATTTGAAGGTATGTTTACTTCAATGACAACATTTTTAAAAATAGTATATAATATCAAACAAACAGTTGTGTAGGCGCAAATCATGTGCTCTCTACTTTTTCTATTAACTTGACTTTAATCTAAACGATTTGGAACGTGCGTGCGTAGTGTAGTTCACCCGCTTCTAATTTTTGTATCATGAATTTTGGTGATATGTATACAGTTATGAATACTAACTGGTAGAGATGCAGTACCATTGATCTGGTTTGATGATAAACCTATAACGTAAACTCGTGAGCTTATTTTCCTTCAGATTAAATATGTTTGTATTATGTTATTTTTAAACCACGATTATAATTTCAGATAATACACCATTAGGTGGGATTTTAAAAGATACCAAACATGGCTGGCTTGCGTTGGGACCAAAATTTTGTGTTGTTGATCTTAGAACTGGCCTTAAAGTTGCTGCAAGAACATTTGGGCACAAATCCAAGTTAGTAAAGTAGTTTTGTAACATTTGATTGTTCTTATGTTACCTACATACTCACTTTACCTTACATGGACTAATCTGAGTCATCAGTCCAAACAGTTAGAAATGATCTAAACAATTTAAACATTTCATTTGTAAAATGATTTCAGTTCTAAAAGTTTTTGGAGTATCTATGTTATTTAACGAAAACTTATTTTAATGAATATATTCAAGTTTACTGAGATTCTGACAACTAAAAAAAACATTTGGTAATGCATGCATTATCTATATGGATACAGAGTATTTTATTTTATACTCACCTTGTACTGTAATAACTAGCACAGTGAAAAGAAAGCACTGCTTTTGCTAGATCACCTAACAAATCAGGTGTAGTTGGGCCCTTTGGGCTACCAAAGATTAAGTAGGAAAAAAGTGTTCTTATAATTAATGCACTGACGCTAGCATATGTATATAGATATATTATTCCAAAGAAAATTTTGATACAATCAACTATATCTCTGTATTGTTGAAAGTATGCAGTTAGCATTTATGATGTAAATACATGATTTATGTGAAAAATTTAGGTGTCGTTCATATTACTATGTAAAAGCACCTTATTTGCGTTTCTTACATTTTCGTTTTTATTAATCGCAGATAAAAAAAATGCACCAAATTCCTCTTTGCATCTAAAGATTTCTTTATTCGTGGATCGATTTGTACATCACTACATTCACATTGATAAAAAGGATTTCAATATGTAGACAATACGCAATATGTAGGCAATACACAATAGGCAATATGCAGCATATTCACAGACCGGATACCCCGTGAAAGAGCTTTTACTGTTATCATTGAATGTTAAAGAAAATATGGTACCTATTTAATAAATATATAATATAGGAATAAGATAATTTATCCCATTTTCATTGCAGGAACTCTCAAATAAGTGTAAAATGTGTGGTCGAATTGCCTAGACCTTTGTCGGAAAACTCTAAACAACTAGTCATCAGCCTACAATGTGACGACATGGGGCTAATATGTTTCTTCCACATAAACGGGTCTCAAATACTGAGATGCATACAAACGGAAGTTGTTATAACGCAATTGAGTGTGTGTGATGCTTTACCTGATGGAGTTCTTTCATGCTTTGATGGAATTATCATGGCAGGCACTAAGAATGGAGCTATAGTTGCTATTGATCTCAACAGAGATAGCTTACGACAGGGTAAGTTATTTTCGTGAATAAAGTGAAACTTCTGTGCATCCCATGCCATTCTAATTGAAATAATTTCGTTACAGCTTTAAAAGACACCTCAGAAGGCTATGAACACTTAATCCGTGATGAACTCAGACCAGTAAATCTATCTTTCCTTCCCTACAAAGAAATCCATGATATAGATGAACAAAGAGAGCTTGCTTTAGAAAATGATGATCACCTATCTATTTTACTTAATGAAAATTCTCTAATAGATGGTCAATTTATGTTTCGTAATCCTGATGGAACTGTACAAATGAAAGCAAAAAAAGATCACATTAGAGTCACAGTTTTACAGTATTTACCTCAATTGGCCAGTTTAGCTGTTGGATATAATTTTGGTGCATTTCAAATATGGAATATGATGACTTTGGATTTAGAATTTACTTCACAAGTAAAATTAAATATTGATTGTTTGCCTGTTACACATTTCGGATTCCAGGTAGGACATTTTGTATCAAAATAGTCAAATCGTCATTGAATTTTTTCAAAGTACTGAGGTTTTTTTTACTGCCCACCTTGTTAGTGTCATATGGTTAATGAAGCTCATGGACATTACAACCTTTCTGCCGCCATCAATCTTGAAGTATGTGAGATTGAAGTGTAATTTGTATTGTATAATGGTACCCCACTCCACCCCCCAGTATGTAACCCACATTATATACTGGAAAAGGTAAATACTTCACAGTGTAACTATAAATAAAATATGGTGGTTTATACTGATGGTAGGACCTCTTGTAAGTCCGCGTGGGCAGCAGCAATGCGTATCGGT